CAGCACTTTAACGATATAAAGTTACAACTAATGGTGTTACAGCACTTTAACGATATAAAGTTACAACTGATGGTGTTACAGCACTTTAACGATATAAAGTTACAACTAATGGTGTTACAGCACTTTAACGATATAAAGTTACAACTGATGATGTTACAGCACTTTAACGATATAAAGTTACAACTGATGATGTTACAGCACTTTAACGATATAAAGTTACAACACTTTATGGTGTTAACTAATGGTGTTACAGCACTTTAACGATATAAAGTTACAACTATAATGGTGTTACAGCACTTTAACGATATAAAGTTACAACTAATGGTGTTACAGCACTTTAACGATATAAAGTTACAACTAATGGTGTTACAGCACTTTAACGATATAAAATTACAACTAATGGTGTTACAGCACTTTAACGATATAAAGTTACAACTAATGGTGTTACAGCACTTTAACGATATAAAGTTACAACTGATGATGTTACAGCACTTTAACGATATAAAGTTACAACTGATGATGTTACAGCACTTTATAAAGATATAAAGTTACAACTGATGATGTGTTACAGCACTTTAACGATATAAAGTTACAACTAATGGTGTTACAGCACTTTAACGATATAAAGTTACAACTAATGATTTAACGATATAAAGTTACAACTGCAGCACTTTAACGATATAAAGTTACAACTGAATGGTGTTACAGCACTTTAACGATATAAAGTTACAACTGATGATGTTACAGCACTTTAACGATATAAAGTTACAACTGATGACAACTGTTACAGCACTTTAACGATATAAAGTTACAACTGATGATGTTACAGCACTTTAACGATGTTACAACTAATGGTGTTACAGCACTTTAACGATATAAAGTTACAACTAATGGTGTTACAGCACTTTAACGATATAAAGTTACAACTAATGGTGTTACAGCACTTTAACGATATAAAGTTACAACTATGGTGTTACAAGATATAAAGTTACAACTAATGGTGTTACAGCACTTTAACGATATAAAGTTACAACTGATGATGTTACAGCACTTTAACGATATAAAGTTACAACTAATGATGTTACAGCACTTTAACGATATAAAGTTACAACTGATGGTGTTACAGCACTTTAACGATATAAAGTTACAACTGATGATGTTACAGCACTTTAACGATATAAAGTTACAACTGATGATGTTACAGCACTTTAACGATATAAAGTTACAACTGATGGTGTTACAGCACTTTAACGATATAAAGTTACAACTAATGGTGTTACAGCACTTTAACGAAAGTGGTACGATGTTAACTTTTAACGATATAAAGTTACAACTAATGGTGTTACAGCACTTTAACGATATAAAGTTACAGCTAATGGTGTTACAGCACTTTAACGATATAAAGTTACAACTGATGGTGTTACAGCACTTTAACGATATAAAGTTACAACTGATGATGTTACAGCACTTTAACGATATAAATTTACATCGGTTACTAATGATCTTCAGCTAATACTGGTACTGTAACATTGCTATTATGACATACAACTACTCCTGTAACTAGTAGTCTAGTGTTGCAACATTGTTTTTCTTGGTAAAACAGAACATTCTATACGGTTACCTCAGGTGATGTAACAGTACTTGAATCACACAAGTTACTTCTGGCGATATAACGGTACTCGAATTACACACTTAGTTATATCTTATGACAACAGCACTTGAATTATACAGTTATTTCTAGTGATGTAATAGTACTTGAATTGTTCAGTTGTTTCTAGGGATGTAACAGTACTTGAATTATACAGTTACTTCTAGAGATATAATAGTACTTGAATTATAGTTACTTCTGGCGATTTAACTGTTCTTAAATTATACTGTTACTTCTAGGGATGTACACAGTTACTTCTGGCGATAAAACAGAACTTGAATTACACAGTTACTTCTAGTGATATAACAGAACTTGAATGATACAGTTACTTCTAGTGATATAACAGAACTTTAATTATATAGTTACTTCTAGTGATATAACATAACTTGAATGATACAGTTACTTCTAGTGATATAACAGAACTTGAATTACACAGTTACTTCTAGTGATATAACAGAACTTGAATGATACAGTTACTTCTAGTGATATAACAGAACTTTAATTATATAGTTACTTCTAGTGATATAACAGAACTTTAATTATATAGTTACTTCTAGTGATATAACAGAGCTTGAATGATACAGTTAATTCTAGTGATATAACAGAACTTTAATTATATAGTTACTTCTAGTGATATAACAGAACTTTAATTATATAGTTACTTCTAGTGATATAACAGAACTTTAATTATATAGTTAGTTCTAGTGATGTAACAGAGCTTAAATTATACAGTTACTTCTTGTGATGGAACAGAGCTTAAATTATACAGTTAATTCTAGTGATGTAACGGTACTGGATTATACACAGTTACTTCGGGTTAGAAGATCCGGGTTAGAATATTGATCTACAGAAACCCATGCTTGTTGTAAGAGGCGACTAACGGGATCGGGTGGTCAGGCTCGCTGACTTGGTTGACATATGTCATCGGTTCCCCATTGCGTAGACCGATGCTCATGCTGTTGATCACTGGATTGTGTGGTCCAGACGCGATTATTTACAGACCGCCGTCATATAGCTGGGATATTGCTTAAATGTGCGGCTTAAATGTGAACTCACTCACTCTGGCGATATAACAGAACGTGAATGATACAGTTACTTCTAATGATGCAATTATACACAGTTACCATATGCTTGTCCTGATATACTATCATGCAATATATATAAATCTGGGGCGGTGGGGTAGCCTAGTGGTTAAACTGTTCGCTCGTCACGCCGAAGACCCGGGTTCGATTCCCCACATGGGTACAATGTGTGAAGCCCATTTCTGGTGTCCCGCGCCGTGATATTGCTGGAATATTGCTAAAAGCGGCGTAAAACCATACTCACTCACTCACATATATTTCTGGTGATGTATCAAAGTAGTCATGCTCTTTGTTAGGGCTGGGACGGGTAGGAAAAAATGGAATCGAGTACCCGCATGTACTTACCCGAATCGGAATCGAGTACACGAGTACCCGTCCCAGCCCTACTCTTTGTCGAGATTAACAAATTATATTTTGGACACTCTGTACCTCTAATTGTAATACGTATGTCAGATGATAACATTAGGGTTACAGATGAACCAAATGGGATCTTTCGGGACCAATGACCAACTCCCACATGGCTTTGTCAATCTGGGGTTACCCTTGACTGGGATCCTGTCAACCTAAACGGTTTCTTGTAGGCAGGGCACTATACGGCATTATTTGGTCTTCGGTGCCGAATGGAAACAAACTGAAAACTACACGCAGTCTGTTATCAAAGTAAAATTGCTTTCCCTGGAAATATTCTCAGTAAAAGAGTTTGTTATAATTTCAATACCCCAGTACAAACTTGCAATGTGTAGGCGTGTCAACGTGTTTGCTTAAATATGAGACATGGGACGCTGCCATGCGCAGCTATTGCCATATATGGTGCAGATTTGTCCGGCGCTCTCTGACCGACGCATCTTAGTTAAATGCGCTCTTTTTGCTCCGCGAAATGACAACGGAAGCAGTTTTCGGAGTGTTTAGACATGCCCTTGTCATTGCTCTCGTAACAACCTAAAGGTATGACCCCTAAAAGACATCAATCTACCATTCCTTCACCGCAGAAGTGGTTGTATTATCAGATTAATAATGGGAAATAATTAAAATAGGGGGCTGAAACTTCAGATATATTTTGCTTACACGTCCATAAACATCATTATAAACCTGAGGCTGTAATTGAGTAATTATTGATCATGTTTTTGTATGTCTGTTGTCTTGCGTTGTATTTACCGAAGTTGAACTTTAAACATTGTTTCCACCGATTAGGGTTGTCTTATATTACTTAATTGGTATCTGCCATAAAATGTAGGTTTGTAGACAAACAAAAGGATTCTGATTGACTGGAATCAAATTTGCTAGAACTCTAAATTAAACCGGACGATCAGAAGGAAATACCAAATTCGATACCTGATGTGCTGAAACCGAATTTTTATTATTTATTATTATTATAGGATATTTATATAGCGCACATATCCACGCAACTTCTACATGCTCAAGGCGCTGGTATTTTTCCCCTAGATCATTGGATGTCAATCTCAACGGCACATCGTATTATCAATCTCAACTCCCTGGGGAGTATACAACTCTTACTGCCACTAGGCGCACTGAGTTATTGTGGCTTTCTCGTCCTAACGAGGTACCCATTCACAGCTGGGTGGACTGGGACACATAGTCACAGTACTTTGTCCAAGTTCACTGCACGTTGCTGTACCCGCAACTAGGTATTTGTAATGTACCTCTGAACACAATGGTTAAACTATGCAATACAGTCATACAGCGTTGTGTCGAACGTACTGTTGTTTCGAAATAGACGTTTGTTCCTTGTGTGTTCCTAACTGAGTCTTAATTTTGCGGTCGTGTCGAGCTTCGGATCTGGAAGTTCCACACAACTGTGTTTGTACTTAAATGAAGACAATTACTGGATGGTACATTGTAATGATGAATAATACTGTGTTTATCCGTATGAATTCCGGATGAATCATACTGTATTCATCCGGATGAATAATACTGTGCCCATCCGTATGAATTCGGGATGAACAATACTGTGTTCATCCGGATGAATAATACTGTGCCCATCCGTATGAATTCCGGATGAACAATACTGGTCCATCCGTATGAATTCCGGATGAATAATATTGTGTTCATCCGTATGAATTCCGGATGAACAATACTGGTCCATCCGTATGAATTCCGGATGAATACATAGGTCTGGGGGATCCAATGTCCCTGTCTGGGGAATGTCATACTATCCAAGTGGTGTGTATTGTTGTTCATTATATCAACCTCTGCATCAATCGTTAGTATTAACACTTTGAATACACAAAAACAACAACAATGAAACATACTTCGGTAATTGTTACTTGTGAATTCGACGACTTCTCTCTCCCATTCTTCTCCTTCTGCTCCGTCCATGCTGTTTGTTTCCCCCTGAAACAAAACCCGGGTATATTAGTACAGATGGTAGGAGACACAAACACAGTCGCTATATTTGTTCGTTTCTCTTATTCCACATTGGGGTAGAATTGCCTCCTTTTCTAATATTGGGTAGAAGAAACAACAGCAGTCGCACTTTTTCCCCGCTTCGAGATGATGTTCCAGTTTAGAATTGACTCATTTCAGTGGAGGAGTTAGACGAAACAACCACTGTCGCTGTTCTTATTCGTTTCTCATATTCCACATTTTCACAGAGTGAGCTTCTTTAGTTGAACCAGGATTCGGTGGTTCGAATTACAAATGGCTTGTACGCGCAGTTTTCACGCTCGTTTCCTTCGGGGTTTTCGCCCCCATCTTGCAGGCACTGCCCATAGCTTCTTTAAACAACACTCACTCATTTATAGGTTTAAGTCTTGGTGTGCCCACGTGACTTGACCTGTGTTCACGTCACATGACCATTGCACCCTTCCGGTCATTGACGCAGACTTCTTCATTACTGGGCTTTCTGGTAGAACCATATTTTGGTTCACAGTTCTCGATCGCGATTTTACTTCGCGGAAAGCGCCTGCATTGATATTCCTGTGTTGAATCAGTCGCTCAGTTCGGCAAATGCATCTGGTATGAAGATATCAGTTTCGATTGGTCGACAGTACTTAAGTAATCAATAAAAAACTGGGTAGGACTGAGAGGAGAGGAGAAGACTGAGGAGGCGATGGAGAAGAACGGGCAGGATTGGGAGTAAATGGGACGAGAGAGAGAGAGAGAGAGAGAGAGAGAGAGAGAGAGAGAGAGAGAGAGAGAGAGAGAGAGAGAGAGAGAGAGAGAGAGAGAGAGAGAGAGAGAGAGAGAGAGAGAGAGAGAGAGAGAGAGAGAGAGAGAGAGAGAGAGAGAGAGAATATTATTATGCATGAGTTTGTGACTTGTTGTCTTTATTGAAAAGTAAACACATATATTTAAGAACCCTAGCATGTTGAGAGTATTCACAATGTCAACCAACCAAACCCCCCCCCCCCGACACACACAACACACACGCACACACACGTACACATATCTTGACCCTATGTTAAGCCCTCGTTAGTGTTGTTCTCTTTTGTAATCTAATGAGTGATTGCCAGTACCATATTGAATGCTAAACATTGCTTGATTAGTATAATCAATTGAAAAGTAAACACATATATTTAAGAACCCTAGCATGTTGAGAGTATTCACAATGTCAACCAACCAAACCCCGACACACACAACACACGCACACACACGTACACATATCTTGACCCTATGTTAAGCCCTCGTTAGTGTTGTTCTCTTTTGTAATCTAATGAGTGATTGCCAGTACCATATTGAATGCTAAACATTGCTTGACCAGTATAAAATATACTGATGTATATTTTTACTTTTAATTTAATGTAATGAGAGAGAGAGAGAGAGAGAGAGAGAGAGAGAGAGAGAGAGAGAGAGAGAGAGAGAGAATATTATTATGCATGAGTTTGTGACTTGTTGTCTTTATTGAAAAGTAAACACATATATTTAAGAACCCTAGCATGTTGAGAGTATTCACAATACCATGTGATATGATATGATATGATATGATATGATATGATTTGATATGCTGGCTGGTTGTTTAGTTGTTTATCGCCGCACAATATTCCAGCTATATGACGGCGGTCTGTAAATAACGAATAATACTCGAGTCTCGACCAGACAATCCTAGTGATTAACAGCATGAACATCGATCTGCGCAATACTTCAATCAAATTTTATCCGTCGTTTAGGCCACATGGACCATAGTACAATTGTATTGTAAGATATACAGTCGTTGTCACATGACCAAAATTACATTAAGAAGATCTTAAGCTAAATATTTTTAGCAGATATATAGATGTTAGACGTAATATATTTACATCAGGTGTGCTTATTATTTGTTGCAAAGTTAATCTAGTTTTACAATATTTTTGATGAACAAAAAGTATTCATTACGGAGCAGAAAATATCTAAAACAGATAAAGAAAACATGGTATTCATTTTCTACAACATTCATATCACAGTGCAAACAAGCAGATTCTATATCAGAATTATCATTGACTTTCTTTTTACGTTGTTGATTTACCCTGAAATCATGAAGAGATCTAACTAAGTTTCTAGTTTCAAATTTATGGATATATGTTTCGCATTGGAATAAGTTCTTTATACTAGAATAATGTGACAAATATGATGATTCAATACTTTGCTGCCAGGATTGTATGTACATATCAATCAAACGTCTTCTGAAAGTAGATATGAAAATAGTGGCATCACCAACATCTTGCATAACCCATACATAGCTAAAACCACTTGTACATAACATCTCACGAACGTGAGAAACCCAGTTAATTTTACCATGATCGTCATGTAATTTAAGCATTTTATAACAATGTAAAGGATGACGTGAAACATTCATTCTTAGTAACTTAATCCAATATTTTATAACTTTTATCTGCGTTTTTATGAAGAAACAGTATCGTCCGGTTTCTCCAAGAATAGCTTTGCGCAATAAGAATCTTCACGGGTATTTGTTATGCAATATAGAATGCTTTGTCAAAGATTTTTAAGACACTCATAAATCCGATATGCCAGTTATATGGAGGACATTATTAACTTAGACGAATCGGTGATAAATTGATGTCTGATACATTTCCCTAATTTCACTTGAATCATCAATTCGCTTGACAATTGATTTGCCGTTGCGTGTGACGTGTGTCTTTGTCTTTGTCTTTGTATAGATGATGTTTGGTAGATTTCCCGATAATTTTTCCTTTTTTGCTTAACTCCATACTGTGGTTCGTGGGTTTTACCAAAGCAGCAACTTCTAAGACCCACTCACTCACTTACTCATTCCACAACTCACTCTACAACACATTCACCTACTGATTCACCCACCAACTCACTTATTCACTCACCAACCTAGCCTCCCGTCCACCAAGTAACTCACCCACTCACTCACCCATCCACTCACTCACACACTCTGTCACCTATCCATCCACTCACTCACTTACCCACCCACTCACTCGCTCACTTACTTACTCACCCATCCATCCACTCACTCACTCACCCATCCACTCACTCACTCACCCATCCACTCACTCACTCACCAACCCAGCCTCCCGTCCAACTCACTCACCCACTCATTCACCCATCCACTCACTCACTCACTTACCCATCCACTCACTCACTCCAACACTCACTCAGAGTATGTAACCAAAGCATAGTCCTCTCTCACCCATGAGGGGGCGGTGGGGTAGCCCAGTGGTTAAAGCGTTGGCTCCTCACGCCGAAGATCCCGGGTTCGGTTCGTACACACAGGCCATGACGCAGCGGATAGATCGTTTGGACACAATACCCACAATGAAACCTAATACTAATCTGTTCCAAGAACACTTGCCTCCATAATTCAACTTTCGATTTGCTATCAACAAAGGTTAGAGGTCAGCTTGACCATTATATCTGAGGTACATTTGATATGGCTGTTCCAGGGGAACAACTAGTAGACCGACGGCGGCGTAAATAAATACATCTGTGATACTTCCCTGAAACTTGTAATCATGCGAAAGGATTAATACCTCCGCTAAGCTATTGATGTAACTGAAAGTTAAGATTTGTACAGGAGAAATTCTAAGATTTGATGTGATTCATGTAAATTAAAAACTTCAAAACTTTTAACTTAACAATCACAATTTTCTGCGACACAGTTTCTATTTGGCGTAAAAGGTAAAATAAGGATGAAAATGTTATGTACGGATCACTGGAAATCAGTGATGAAATCATGTCCTCGCGAAAGGGAGCCCATGACGTAGTATATCAGTAGCAGCTGCTACTTACACAGGTTTAGGCGCGGCGGGGTAGCCCAGTGGTTAAAGCCGAAGATCCGGGTTCGATTCCCCACATGGGTACAATGTGTGAAGCCCATTTCTGGTGTCCCCCGCCGTGATAATGCTGTAATATTGCTAAAAGTGGCGTAAAACCATAATCACTCATTCACTTAATATGGAGTTAAATATTAAATTTATCCACAGTCACAGTCACAGAATCAGTCACTATTAGCAGAATACATATTCAAGGCCTCAGCTGTGAGACAGAAGTCCCTCAATACCTGATGCAAGCGAGACAACATAATCATATTCCGCATAACATCTTGTCTACCTACAACTATGGTTTAATTGTTTGACTTGTAACCATTACAAATTATTGTGCTCATCCATCACTATATACATATACAATTTGCTATGACTTGATATGCTCTTTCTCAGAATTTTGTACCAAACTGCAAGGGAGTTAGCCCTATCAACTTTTGCATTATCATATTGTCAACCTATAATTATTATTCTTCAATTGTACAATGTATCTGCTTGTATAATTATGCCATTCACGCTCTTATGTAAGAGCCACCAAAACAAAATGTTATGTATTGTTTGTACTCTGGGCCTATGGCCCCTATTACCGAAATAAATTGAACTTGAACTTGAAATATTAAATCAGTTATCATAATGGTCTAAATGTGCTTTAGGTATTTATCACGTAATTATCACGTTTGTCTATAACTGCTATTTAGTCTTCAGATGCTTTGTCTGTTAGCAATCAAAATCAGAGGGTATTTTTTGTGTTATTTGGGCTTGAATTGCTAGTCCTTGTTCAGACCCGGTCGGTAGTTTTATGACTTCAATAATACATTTGTCTAACTGAATAATTACCATTCTGGAAAGTACATATTCCGGTTGCAAAGATATATAGACAGATACTTATGATACCACTTGTTGGCAAGTCCCCGTTTCTGACCTTGACCTTGACCTTAGTATTATCAGATCCGGCATGGCCTTGAATAGACGAAGTATTGTTATCAACCTTGAGCAGCCTGTATCAAATTAAGAAACGGGAAATATGCAGTGTTCATAAAGGACAGATAACATCCATACCTCGTGCTACTTTGTGGTATCTGCCGTGTCATGGTATCGACATGCACGGAC